TTGATCAACAACAGGAATACACAGTAAAACCCCGTTATGACGATTTTCTAGAGACCGGACCAAAAACACGTTTTATGCTAAAAAACGAATTATGTTGGATAGAAATAAAGTTTAATAAAGTGCAGGGACCAACAGTGGTGTATTATGCGAGAAATCGTATTGAAAATGATCGTCTTAACGGGGTTCTACTGTATAAATCTAGAAGATACCCTAATAGATATCAAAGGAAAATTGGGCAATAATAGAAGACTGAGAATTGATGTTAAGACATTGGTAACATCACTATGGAATGCCACTTCAAACGTATAAGGCAGTTCTACAAATTTTGTTGTCGTCCTAAACATATGCTTTAAATTTATTCGGTTCGATACCCACTTCGAGCAGCCTGTTGTCAGGCAGCAGTGACAACAATTTTCACTTGGAAATATAGATAGTAATATGTTTCCAAGTGAAAATAGCCCTTGTCCGGCATTGCTGCACCAATAAAAAGTCAGCCCTATCAGATTAATTCTAATAGTAAAATCATCAAATATGGATGGATTAACCATTGGATTACCATCTAAAAAAAAAATACATAGTAAGAAGTTTCAGCCCAACAGCTCGTAGGACGTAAGGTTCTGATTGCTGTTAAAAATAAAAAAAAAAAACAAAAAAAAAATATTCAGAAGTTAGTGTTTATCAATCAAAGTTTGCTATAAATTAAAATCAGAGGTACGAATTGCAATGCAGGACTTTTAAAAATGAGAAGATTTGATAAAAATGTAAGATTTGTTGCTTATATTTCGATTTCTGGTTTTTTGAAATTAATTTCTAAATGTACTTGCATGTGCAAATATTTAATCCTTGCATTTTACAGACTGTAGTGATGACGGATCAAACACGATCAGTTGATGATGATTTAGAAAAACGTAAAAGGGAATTAGCCACAGCTCGGGCTAGAAGATACCGCGAAAAAAAACGTTTAGAAGCTGAGCAATTGAAAACTTCGAATGTTAATGGCACTCAAACTCAAACTAGTGAAAATAATGCCCAAGTAGTGAAAAGTTCCCAAGAAAATGAACTTCAGCCTACGAGAGTATTACGTAGCCGAAAACGATTGCAATCTCTCGATCAAAATTCTCAAATGCCTAATAAAACTGCAACCCAGGATGGAAATTTGAATAAAAAAGTACGTGTGCAGCCCGTAAGGGCTGCTGCTGCTGCTCGAAAAAATGCGTCTTATAAATATAAGTGATTCAAATTAATGTTGTCATATAATAATTTACAACGTTTGAATGAATTATTAGGGAAATATACATGAGACTGATACAGATTTTGCATTTGTTCTATTTTTGTATCATGGATACATTATTTAGCTTTACTCAACTAAATTCAAAATCATCAATTCCAAATTTAGAAGTGCATTTCAAATTCAGAGGGCTTAAAATCGCAATGTATCAAAAACAAAATGCTTGCCCCGATGCCAGAATAATACTAATTTTTATATGCATTATTATATATTTACAAATAATTTAATATTTATTTACAGCAATTTAAATAAAAATAATTTAATTAGTATTTATTTTCTTTGCTTGAAGCATGACAATGTATATAGAATAGTTTCGTTATATTTATTTAACTCAGGTAATATTAAACTCTTGATAAACACCATAATTACAACGTACTAAAATGGCCTTAGAAATAATCTTGCCATATTATTTAATATAGGATTGTTTCTTTAACAATTATGGAAGCTCACCTGTTTCATTGATGTAGAAAAATCTTTTTTTATGTATTATTCCTATATTTATATTTGATTTCATTTTTTTAGTATAATCTGCAGTATCTTGTATAGTCTGTTATTAACATGACTTCTATAATTAGTTAAAGAATGTTTAAAACCTTTTTGTGTTGTTTTGTTGAAAATGGAAAAAGAATAGACTGTTTTATAGGACATAGAAGTATTGAAATTCAAATTTACTGTTATATTAGCTTATGAGAAAAAATAACTTATTTAATTTCATTTTTAATATAACATATGTTGAATGGAAAATTTTGTAAATATACATGGTATACTGATTTTTATTGGAAATATTTGAATTTATTGATGGATAGTATTGTCTCATATAAAACTCTTTTTAAAATTTTTATATTTAATAAATGGTCTGTGAAAAATAAATGTTATCATTTATGTATTTGTCCACAACTTTAGGCCTTATTAATAACAAACTTTATTTTTTCAGAATTTATTTCTATAAAAATTTAACTCATATATTTCTTGCAGCTCACACTTATCAAACTTTGATTTTTCTCACATTTATAAATTTTATTGAATAAATAAAATTATTCACCTGCTATCAATCACCTTCCACCCTGAACAGTATGTTTATTAATCTTTACCTTACTACTCAATTAACATCTTCTGGTTATTTTCAGGCAATAAACAACGGTTGGCAGGCAGGCAGCCGGCTTAGTGGGTGGTCAGCAAGCGTACCAGGCGAACGTGCAGCAGGCATTGCGGATGGCGGCTGTTCAACAGCATCATCATACCCAGAACAGGATGTACCAGAACAACGTGAATGCTGCTGCCGCAGCAGTGGCTGCGTCTCGGTCCAGCCAGGCTCACAGCACGGCGGCCGCCGCGGCTAGACAATATCAAGCACAATATTCGAGTGCTAATGCTGCGGCGGCGATGTCTCTTGCGCTCGTCAACCAGCAACAAGCACCACCACCTCTGGTGCGGACCACATCACATAACCTTCCTGGGTTAGTTTTATTTTTATTTTTTGTATTTTACTAGCGATACTCGAAAACAATAAGAATTTCTAAAGTCGATCTACGACTTCCTAATGAAAATCAAACCTATCAATTATGAAGAAACGCTTCTGCTGGTATTTAAACAATGTCAATTAACGCGTTTTCCAGAAATCTTCTTCAAAATTAGATTGTTTTAACCCTTATCGGTCGGAAGTCACCTGTGGCATGACAACAATATTCGACTGAGGTGAGGTCCGTAAACACCACCCACCTACACCACGTGATTTGAGCGGCGGTAGCAACCTGAAACACAAGCTTGCCTTCAGGGAAGTGACATGCATGTGGATCTATGTGGATTTCAGATTGCCGCTCGGTGCCTCCCGGTGTTTACTGGGCAGGGATGTGACAACGATCAAACCAATTTTTATTTAAAAAAAAAAATGGAAATAACGAATTTTGATGGGAATTATAGCTAGGAAAACTTCGAAGGTGGTTAAAGAAATAAGTATAATTTATGTAAAGAAGTATATCTAATACATTTAGCCAGCGATAAGAGTTAAAATTCTAAAAGGATATTTTGGAAAATGGAAATATTATATTGACCTGTTACTACAATTATAGTTCGATCTATTCACCAAACTGTTACTAATAACTAATTATGAAGGTTTCATCGGTTATCACTAAATTTAGTTAACATTATTGAAACGAAAAGTTTTGAGTTCTTAAAATAGTTTCCATGGTTCTGTATGTTTAAAACTAAAGGGAATCTATAGAATTGTTTACAGCAGCGGTTTCCAACATTTTCTGCTTTAATAAAAAAAAGTTGCACCACCCTTAATTATTTCAACAGTTTATTTTATAAATACTCAACTGATATCAGCAGACTAAAAATAATATGAAATTATGTAAAAATATGCATAAAATCTAATTAATTTTTAATATCGTTCCAAAAGTGTTGGGTTATTTTCGGTAATCGTATTCTGGAAAAAGATGTACGCGCCCCCTGAGAGGTATTACATATTTTTTATTTAACTCTTGCAAAGAAACGATCCATTAATCAATGCGAGTCGTTATTTAGTTTCACCATTTTTTTTGAAATTGACGCAATTGTTTTCGAGATAATGCCACCAGGTTAAATTTTGCAATACACGCATATACAGCGAAAGTAGTAACAAAATGACCTTTGACAGGTTTTAATTTTTTTTTCTTGGTCCTGTAATGCTGCGAAATAGCACTGTCATTTTGTCTATTGTATAAGCATGCCATTTTGACCGAAAGTGAACAAAAATGAATAATTAATCAAAATTCCATGAAACACATGATTATTGCTAAAAAATTTATTGAAATCACTAGTACTGGCATAAGTTTATTGATTTTAATAGAAATAATTACAAATAACTATAGGTCCCAACAAAAACATATTAAAACCACCTTGAAATAAACTTCTGAAGGCGCGATACATGTTTGAACTGATTACTTCGACAGGACTGTGTCAATAACGCTCAACATCTGGCAGGATTGTAAATATTTTCTTCATTTATACAGTCTCGGAAACATTGCTAAAACTAGCCAATATCTAAATACAAATATGTAATTAGATTTTGTCCATATATATCATTTTGCCCGAATTTTCCTTACTTGTCGAATTTTGTATTAAAGTTCAGGATGACTTAAAACGTCGCCAAATAATGGGATTATTTGGCGTTTTTTTTTCTGACTTCTTAAGGAAGAAAAATAATGAAATATTATAAAGAAGTTGAAGACGAAAGAGATTGAAGAGATATTTAAAGATATTTTAAATATGAGAATGAACTAGAGATAAATGATATGTATAAATGAAATATGAAAATTGTTTCATAATCTCTTATACCTGGCGTCCCTGCCTGACTGAGATATGAAAATAATATATCAATAAAAAAAAATTAAAATAAATCATATAAATATCTCATCTATGTAAAACATGATTTTCGATAATAATAAGCATATTTTCTGTTCCAGGTCTCTATTGCCCCAGACGAGGCAAATAGGCAACGGTCGCAGTTCAAGTCTAGATACAATGTCTCGGCGGAATCTTACTCCTATTCCTGATACGCAGACATCCAGTAGTCATGTACCTTACAAAGTACAGAAAGCTTTGGTTGAGAACAAGATGGTCCCTAGCATAAATATGAAACCATATGTTTATACGGAGTTGTTAATGACAATTGCTGATCTGAAGAGCCATTTCTTTCCAACATACAATATAGACGATTGCAGACGGGCGTTGGACGCGCTGGGAATTGAACTTTTCAAAGGAAATAGGTATGTTACAGAGCTTGTTGAACTATTTTAAGCTATATGCATTTATTATTTTTCCTTGTTAAAGAAACAATTAAAAACTTTATAAATTCGTTTTCACGCCATTTTTTTTATATATTATCTTTGTAAATTAATACTACATTTTGATAAAAACAAATGGAAAATTGCACAAATGCGTCCTTCATTACTGTACACACAGGCCCTATTTTGCGTTATGAATAAAGCACTGTTTTTTAAAAATAAAAGTGCCAATTGAAAAACTTTTCCTACTAAATCTTTCATCTAACTATATGTAATTATCATGAATTTAGGATAGCTTTGGATATTAATCATAGTAGTTTGATTAGCTTTGGCAATATTGACAATTTACAATTGTGAATCTGTATGAATACTGCTAATATTAACCTACTATTTAATATACTGTGCATTGAGACAAATTACAGTGATACTAAGTAGGGGAAGCCCGTACAAAATGACATGGTGCTTTGTTTTTTTAATGATATTTATTTGTTTAATGATATAATCAGCGTCAATTGTTAGTACACATCTTAGATTCATTAACTACCAGTAATGTAGTCTTTTAATTCAATATATTTTTAAAAGAAAATGCAATTAACCACAATAACCATCTTGTCCATATAGTACAGACAAAAAGCCATATAGATTAAAGACAACTAAGGTAATTTTTAAGAAATCGTTTGGTGTCCTCTTTGGGACATCAGCACCTGACACATGGGCCCAAAGGGAAGTTCATACATCGTCTATGAGGTCTATGCTATAAATATAAGTCTCTTTTTTTTACCAGTGGATAGTTTGGCCTATTTCTAGAAGTAGTTCGATAAAAATCAATCACCTTTGACAGGTTTTAATTTTATTTTTCTTGGCCTCGAATGAACTTCCCTATAGTGCTATCAAAATAGTCATTTTAACCATTGTATAAGTTTGTCATTTTGTTCAAAAGTGGAATAATGAATATTACATAAAACCTTTGATAAGTACATTAGTGCATTAAAGTTAATCGAAACCACAGAGTACTCGTATATGTTAATCGATTTTAGTATATATAATTACAAAAAACAATAAATAAGTCCCAAAAAACATGAGGAAACCACTCTCAAAATGAACTTTTGAAGGCGCTATACACTTCAAACTGATCACTGCGACAAGATTGTGATAAACGCTCAACGTCTGACATAATTGTGATTATTAGGGCTTCCAATACTGTAGTAAAATCTGAATATCGATATTCGATATTTGAAATGTGTAATACCAGGATCCCGGTATTAATACCGGTATTCTCAATGAAATATTTACTAGTTATATTTTTATTTACCGCAGTTGTTATATTGGCATATTAACAAATAATATACGAAATCTGATAAATATTGTTCTGATGAAATGAACTCATATTATTTATTTTTTATTAGTAAAAAAAATTATGTAATATTAACTTCTATGTAATATTTTACATATGCATGATAGCTTCGAATTGAATTATATATTTAAGGAAGCAAAACATTCAATTAATAACTTATATTTTGTTTATTTCATCTTCAAGCGAGGTTCAAATTTTAGTACAAATATAACAAGCCGCCAAAAAATCTCTTTTTTATTCTGCACTTGTCATTAAGAAATAATACATTATTACTTTGTATGAATTAGTACATTGCTTAGAGAATTTCGGTTATAATCAAATTGTAGTTAGATATGAACGATTTCTAAGAATTAGCGAACGTACGCATAAGTCAACCATCACCGGGACCAATTTTATAATTGATTATCAAACTATTTATCACTGGATGATTTCACACAGTGAATTTTTGTTATAATAAAATTAAATAAATAAATATGAATGATTTATAGGAATATATACAATATAAAGAATTATATAGAGTCGATTGTTTATTATGTTTAGAAAACATTGATAACGAATTTGATATAACTACGATGCATGAGGAAGCATTAAAAATTTTTGTACATAATCTATTCATTGAATCTCAAGACATTTTTTTATTTTTTATTTTTTTTTTTTATTTTGCAATATGTACATTTCATATATATCCATATCTCAGACCGGCAGGGGTGTCTGGTATAAGAGATTATGGATTACTTTATACATTTATGCCTTTATATATTTATCTATTTCATATTACTTCGCCACTTGTCGATGTCGTCGTATTCGGCTCGGTATATGTAAAACATATTGCGTGAGTTCGATTTTTAACATAATTCTGTAAATCGAAATACCGGTATTTTTATATCAATACCGGTATTGAATACGGGATATAAATCGTCTGGAATCCCGGTATTCGGGATTAAAGAATCCCGGTAATGTGATTATGCGTGGCTTTTGTCACGTTATACAGTCGCGAAAACGTTACTAAAACTAGCCAATTTCTGAATAATTTGTGTACAGTGTTATATTTTCCAAACATACCATATGTCCGTACATACCAGAATGTTTTTATTTGACTCAAGAGCTCTACAGTTTAAGGGGGTATTCTAGTGTAGAGCGATGAATTTTAGGTCATTTTTAAAGTGTCGTAAAAGAAAGCAATGAATGTTTTTACTATCCATTTTTTCACCACTTGTTTATTAATACTATTAAAATACAAAACAAAAATTAAAAAATAAAAAAGTTGAAAATTGTAAAAACTGGCAGCTGATGAAGTGGGTGGACTCAAAAAAATTGGCACCTCAGTCTTGACATGACCTCAGCCCTCCTAGCCATCGGAAATGCAAAAAATAAAAAGATTATTAATCTACAATGATGTCGCAATTGCCCGAACTAGCAATGAGTAAAAAGAATTTTTTTTACAAATTGGCGACTGTTTGAAAAAAAAAGTGTTTTTTGACTGTTTTTTTTGAGTTTATCGAATTTTTTAAAAATAGTAAAAATTGGAATTTGGGGATAATCCTAGTTCGGGCTATAGATAGGTCTATAAACAAGACTCGGTCGATTAAAACTCGAGAAATCGTGTCAACAGTACTGAAAAAGTCTGTTCTGAGAAAAATGCATTTAAAGTTTTGCGTGAAGCCAAACTAATATGGAGACCAAGTCAGTAAAATGCCCGTATCTCCGAAAATAATTTAAATTTTCAAAAACCTTATCGTACCCATATTCTTAGATAGTTAAACTTTGAAAATATGAAATAAAAAAAAAAAACGATTTTTTTAAATTTCTACACTAGAATACCCCCTTAATGAATGTAGTGAAATTTCAATGCAAACGAAGTACATAGTTTGAAGCTAGATATGATTTTCTCTTGTCAAATTTGTAAGTATTCCTATTTTAATTCCAGATTACAAATGCAAATTCTGTGTGACAGCGGCAAGTGCACCTCGTTATCTGAAAACTTACCCTTAATTCAATTGAGGGATGTAATGAAATTTTTGCCGCAGTTAAAATACATGTTAGCCGCAAACGAGACAACGAGCCCCGCGAGCAAGCGCGCTCGCATCAGCTAGGAGGACGAATTGAGGCATTGTGTGGGACCGTGCAATACGGGCTCGATCTCCGCGATGCCTCCGCAGCACTCCGACGTGTCAGCTTCCACGATCGGTTCTCAACAGTTTCCAAATCACCACATCTCCATGTCAATCTCAAACGAGAAATATATATCAATGATTACTAATGAATTCAACAAAAATCAGATGCTAGCCAGAGACGTTAAATCCGTTGCCGAAGCAACCAGCTCTTTCTACAGCCCTGAAAAAAGTTATGAGGCTCTGGCCAGCGGCGCAAGCATATTATCGGACTTAATTGAGAACCGAATAAATCTTCCTGGAGATGCTTCATCCTATTTGCCAAACGTTGGAACTGCTGATATAACAGATACATTGCAAACTCGAAATTCTCGGAGTGCTAGTATATTTTCAAGAGCCATGTCTTACGCGTCCTGTAGATATCAAGAGAACCAAGACTATAATTCGCCGATCACATCATACAATTCTTCGAATTTATATGATGCTAGAACTGACAAAGGAGCGTACAATAATCATTATACTGTTACTTCATCACATATGCTATCACCACCAGGATATCCATCATTGGACCCATCAACATTAGGTCGAAGTGTGATGGGTTACAGTGGGCAAGGACTACATGAATGGCTCAACGTATTTCCTGTCATGAGAGTTCACCTTCTATATACCCGCCCACTCCTCCACCTTCCGCACCTTGGGTTCATCCATGGTTTTTGGGAGACACTTTTTAAATAAATTAATGCTGAGGTATCCTTTCTTTTAAGAATATAGATTAAAATATTTATTTTATTATATTTTTTATATGATAATGAATGTTTAAAGTATATTTCATTTCATATCTCATAGCTTGTCCATTTATTTGATCAGTCTGCTCCAAATATTCGCTTTAATCAATCAAGCGATAACTATAATAAAAATTAAATAATGAACAAATTTGAATTCAATACATTACAATTAAATACTGAAAGTTATGTTATGATGAAATACATAAGTATGGATAATTATGCGATTTATTTACAATGCGTTTTAGTATTGTACATTCCAATCAATACATGTATATATTTACTAATGTGAATGTAATATATGTATATATGTGTTTACATGACATTGAGAAGTGAAAATATTGTTATTTATCTACTTATTATAGTTTAAATTATTCATACTATGATAGTTTCTATGTATCCATTAAAATATTATTTATTATATTTGTATACAAATTGTTTTTTTTTACTGTAATTTTGTTGAAAATTATTTAATTTTTTGTGATTAGTTAAAGAAGCATAGCCAATTCTGAGCAAATATTTTCATAGAAACTTTTATATGAACTTTTTTGATTGTAGAGATCGGAAATGAGTATCTATTGCTTTTGATGGTCTTTCTAGTGAAATATCTAGGGCTGAATTTTTCTGTGATCATTAAAATAAATAATCTGTATTGTTTTCAGGAGCAATGTAAAATATCATAAGAATTGTATACAGATTGATTTGAACTAAAAGATTAAATATGAGGATAAGAATAAATCTTATTAGTTATTTGAGTGCAAGTATTGTACCAGTGACAAGCTATTTTTTAATCTGATACACCATTGAGTGAGTTAACATTTATTTTTATGCATTATTTGTATATAGTTTTTCTACATGTAGTATACGTTTTATGTATATGCATATATATTATCTACATTTTCTATATTTGCAGTAGGTGATGACATACCTGTACTTTACATTGCATCCAAATTCAAATAAGATATGTTTTCAGATCAAAACTTATAAACTAACGAAAAGATTATGTTTAGAAGAAGGCAATTTTTTGTAATACGAATTACAGAAACAAGTAGTTATTATTATTATGTAATAGAAAGGACTTTTTTTAAAAGACCATTAAAATTAAATTTTTTTTTCACAAAATTATGAAATGATCCAAATTATTATTTATATATAAGCTGGTGCAGATGTTATTTCCGTTTTACAGTATGGATACAAAGGTACAATTAATAAATATATATGATGTATTTATAAATATGTTAGATAGAGAATTTTTATTAAACGCGTTTACTGAGTAAACTGAAGGGTTCTTTTTTTTCTTTTCACAGAAATTATCTTAACAAGCGCAACATGAACTCATTTTTGGGAGAAATCGATTATTTTTATAAACTAAAACAGCATAATTAATGAAAGAAGTAATTGAAAATATTCTAGTCAATAATCTAGCATTTTCTTACGAATTTATAAACCATTTCGATCATGAAAAAGATCAAGTTGAAATATTATAACATAAAATTAAGTAAATTGCTCCGAAAAAGAAAAACATTAAGTTATATCAAATAAACAATAACATATTATTTTAAATAGAATCGAAAAACATAAAGGGGTGAAAAACAAAAAAGTATTCGGTTAAAATGGGCTTTCCGTGAATTTGATTTTAGCTAAGGGATTCTAATAAGATATTCTACAAGCTGTAGTGACATCGGTAATCAATTGGAAATATAGATATAGCAATATGTTTACAAGTGAAAATAGCCCTTACCGAGCTTTGCTGTATACAATAAAAATTCATCCGAATTAGCAAGTTTCTAATTGTAAAATATATCAAATAATAGACCAATTGTTGGGTTGCCTTCTAAAGTTATGAAGAAGTTTACATTAGCCTTTTTATAAGACATTTAAGATGCAACAACTTTTTGTTCCGTTCTTTAACAATATTCAAGTTTATTACATTCAACATTGGAGATGAAGTTAATTTCTTCAGAAATAAATGTGAAAATAACTATAAATATATAACAAAAAGTATACAACAAAGTTTTGTCTACGAGTAACTCAAATCTTTAATACTTTTTAGTACGATTTGTATTGTGAGAATAGTGATTTCTGAACATTGTGAGTGAAATAATAATTCCTGTGACTGTGACAATGAAAAGTTTTTAATATATGTTTCTAAATGAAGAACGTGTACGATCGGAAGATTTATAGAATAACTTTTAGCCACATTGATAATGATTAATTATTAATTAATTAATTAATTAATTAATTAATAATTAAATTTTGTATCAACTAGATGGATACAGCTGTGGACTATGAAGAAGATGTTGCATGTAAGTTTATAGTTTATAAAAAATATTATAAATTATTAATTAATTAATAATTGAATTTTGTACCAACTAGAGATGGATAAAGTGAAAAAGAAACAGCTGTGGACTATGAAGATGTTGCATGTTTTATAGTTTTTTATAAATATTATAGAAATAATTAACTATAATGAAATGGTTCGGTATGCTTTTAAAATTTATTTTATTTTAGTTTTTTTTTAATTTTTTATTTTTAATCTTATTTAATTATTTTTAATATCCCTATTATCATTCACAATAAAACAGCGGAATACACGGATATGCGAAAAATTTTTTGCTCAAAACAGTAGTTAGTCTACCCCTTGGTTTAGTAGTTAGAGCAATAGACTCCCAATCAGAAGTTCCTGGGTAGATGCTCTCGGACAGCCTGATGTCAAGCAGTAGTGACATTGTTTTTAAATCCACTAGTATTAGGGTTATTGTAATAGTAAATTCATGAAAAGGAGATAGACCAACCGTTAGGTGCCTTCTATAAACCAACGTTATTAACAAGTTTACAGTCTGATTTCTGATTAAAATGCTGATTTCTGTTGAAAATGTAAGAAA